TATTAGAAGTTATGAATATTGGCTGTATACTTGTTTGATTTTAAATAACCTTAGTAAGGCATTTGGTCAGCTTCTTTAGAAAGGAATTTGCAAGTTAAGTGCCCAATCAAGAAGCACTTAACGGACAATGGATCTTGGAAGGCTCCAATCCACATAAGTCTACATGGAGACATTCAAGATACCATGTGGTCTGTTGCTGCTGCCTGTAAAAACTGAGTCACGCATGGACATGTGACTTGCCCAGGTGACTCCAAAACTCCATCTTGGAGCTGGACTTTGCATAGGAGAGAGGAGGGGGTCTCCACCCACAAGGGAAAGTCTATTTAAGCCCGTGGGAGACCCCTCCATATGGTCTTCAGCTGGCTCAAGAGATAGCCTCACCACCCCCAAGGATACCTGAGAGAAACTGGAACAAAGGACAGTAACTACAGGGGGTGTGAGTGATTGCTGGACCCAGACTAGAAGGAGACTAGTCTGTAAAAGGAACTACTGGAACACCTCTGAAGGTGAGGTTTTATCGGTATTCAGTTTTCTTACTGTATTAGGCTTAGACTTGCGTGTTTTATTTTATTTTACTTGGTAATTCAATTTGTTCTGTCTGTTACTACTTGGAACCACTTAAATCCTACTTCTCTGTATTTAATAAAATCACTTTTTACTTATTAATTAACCCAGAGTATGTATTAATACCTGGGGGGGGGGCAAAAAAGCTGTGCATACCTCTCTATCAGTGTTATAGAGGGCGAACAATTTATGAGTTTACCCTGTATAAGCTTTATACAGGGTAAAATGGATTGATTTGGGGTTTGGACCCCATTGGGAGTTGGGCATCTGAATGTTAAAGACAGGGACACTTCTTAAGCTGCTTTCAGTTAAGTCTGCAGCTTTGGGGCACGTGGTTCAGACCCTGGGTCTGTGTTGGAGCAGACGGGCATGTCTAGCTCAACAAGACAGGGTGCTGGAGTCCCAAGCTGGCAGGGAAAGCAAGGGCAGAAGTAGTCTTGGCACATCAGTTGGCAGTTCCCAAGGGGGTTTCTGTGATCCAACCCGTCACAACAGGTAGTGTTAAGAAGAACATACAAAGTATCAATGATGAGAAGCGAAGTGATGAAATTTGTCCTGCCAGTACCAATGCACTTGCTGAAATCGCTGGTGAGACGACCATTACTGACTCAACATGTGGATCTCAGCCTGTGAAGCGAAACATTGACACCAGGGACAAAATAGGATGTATATCAAAGAGACGTAAATATGGAAATGGGCTTTACTTGGGCTGGAGACAGTGAATACCCTCAGCTGCAGTGTGCGCCATGTGGTGAAGTCCTGTCAAATAACAGCCTAAAACCATCTCTTCTACACAGACACTTGGAAACAAAACATGAACAACACAAGGGGCAAACCACCGGCGTTTTTCAAGCGGACATGGGTGCAGCTAATGGCGAGCAAGGAAGTTTTGCGCTCTGCTGCTCCTGGTGACAATCTTAAGGCCCTTGAAGCATCACTAGTGAGTTACAGAGTTGTGAAGTCAGGAAACCTCACACCGTAGCAGAGGAATGAACACGAGCTGCGGCTGCAGACATGGTAAGCACTATGCGTGGAGAGAAGGCCAAAAAATTAATTCAGTTAGTGCCGTTATCAAACAACCCATCGAATTGATGACATGGCCAATGATGTCCTAACTCAATTAGTGACCCGTGTCATGAGCAGCCAGTACTTTGCTCTGCAGCTGGAACAAAAGCAGTTGGCTGAGTTTTGGATCCAGATGTGAGCAGAATTCCCCAAATTCTCAGAAGGGGCTGTTCAAGGTTTTGATGCCATTTGCTACAATGCACCTGTGTGAAAGTGGATTTTCATCACACACAGAAATGAAACCAAAGTATCGTCAGTGCCTCTGTGTAGAAAACAACTTACGATTCAAACTATCACCTATCATGGCAAACATTATACGCCTGTGCTCAAACAACCTTGTCTGTCATGTTAATGGTGAGCGGTACTACTAAGCCATTCTTTACATTGGTCAAAAGTACACATACATTAAAACTAAAATCGTAAATTATATGTATTATAGTCCTTTATATCGTGTGTTTGTGTATTATAATTTGTACCTTTTGTACACTGCTTGGACATTAAAAGACTTAAAATATAAAACCTGTATTCTGGTAGGGGTATGCGGGCAGCTGGTAGATCTGGAAGGGGGTACAGGGGGCAGCTGGTAGATCTGGTAGGGGGTATGTGGGCAGCTGGTAGATCTGGGAGTCTGCGGGCAGCTGGTAGATCTGGAAGGGGGTCCGCGGGCAGCTGGTAGATCTGGAAGGGGATATGCAATAAGAAATTTTGGGAACCTCTGGTCTAGATGGCTTGTGAGATCCGCAACCATCATACCCAACAAGCAATTCACCGTGCAGTTCTCCTTGTTATGACAAACCCAGCTATCTGTATTTCGAAAAATCCAGTCCCCCATTACTATTACCTGTCTCTTCCTGATAACTGGGCTCACCTCCCCCGGAGAGGTATCTTCAGTGCAAGAGGATACCATGACATCATCTGGAAGGAGAGTCCCAACTATGGGATCATTTCCCTCTGCTCCAGCCTGATGTTCTCCTTCCCTGAGACTTTCATCCTCCTCAGCTGCACAGGTGCTGTCAGACTGGGCGTAGGACCACTCTTCTGTGTCCCAGAAAGCCTCTTTGTACCTCTCTGACTCCCTTAGCTCCTCCAATTCAGCCACTCTGGTCTCCGGGTCCCGTACGCACTCTGCAGGCCAAGAGCTCCTTGCACTGACAGCACACAGGCCACCGGCCCACATGGCAGGTAATCGTACATGCTGCATTCAGTGCAATAAACTGGACAGCCCCCCCGCTGGACTTCTGCCTGCATTCCTATTACTCCTGCAGGCTTGGTAGGGATTTTTTGGAGGGGGGTGTTAATTGGCCTGAGTTCAGATTGTTAATCAGGTGTATCAGGCTCCCACATTCCCTCCCTAAACTCGCTGGCGAAATGCCTGTGGTCACTTAGGAGCTGGCTTTTTAATGCCCTGTTCTCCCTGAGTAGCCCCTCCCCCTCGTTAAGGGACCCTAAAGGGACGAGAAATCAGAGGACATGGGAAGCTCTCAGCCTTGCCTAGCAGGCCACTTGGCTCAACACATGGCCCCCAATCAGACCACACTATAAACGTCAATCCAGCAGGTGCACAGCAAACAAACTAACAGACCACAGACGAGGGAGGAGAGACAGATGCTTCCACCCAGAGAGCTACTTGTTGCCCCTGGCTCCCAAGACACAGCTCCCTCCGCTCCCTGCACAGAGCAAAGGGAAGGCAGAGAGCTGATGCCTGGTGAAGCCATGGTTTCAGGGGCCACCGCTGGGCAAAGGCCAGGAGGGTTTCTACTGGAGGAAAGCAGCCCAAACTCTTTTCAGTCTTGCCAAGCGCCTTGCATGGTGCATCCAGTCAGCCCTGCATTCCTGAGAAAAACAGAGCAAAAGGCCCCTATAACGCACCATCTGGCCTAGAGCTACCCGTGGAGACTAGCAGTCCCAGCTCTTCCAACTGCCATTAATATCTCTGTGCACTTTACAGCCCTTATCAACCAAGGTGTCAGAGCCCCACTGCAGCAGGAGGAAAGTGCCATGCATCTATTTCACAGAAGGGGTAGCTGCACGAGGTCACTGCTGGCACGGCTGGGAATAGAACCCTCTTCAGTCTGGCAGAGCCACTTGGCCATGCTGCCTTTCAGAAGGAATGTGCCACGCTAAGTGCTTGGCTATGCTGCCTCTGACCTAGGCTAAACTCTGCTCGGAGGGGAACAGAACAAGGAATCCTGATTCCCAACAGCCCAGTGAATCTGCAGATTAACCGCTGAGTTCTGGGGCACTACAGGGGAGGCCTTTGAGGCAACCAACATGTACAATTTGGATCATAAGTGCCTTGGGGGAGGCACTGGCTAGTCATGTGCCTGTACAGCACCTAGGACTGCAGCCTCTAGGAGCCACTGCAACTCCACAGCTAACTAACAGCCAGGACCCAGGCTAGTGGGCACTGCTATGATGAAGGCAAATGCAGCTCTGGAGTAAAAGGGCAAAGGCTTACGCAGGCCTGCTCCCTTCTCTAGGAGTGGGAAATCCTCATTCCCCTTCTCAGCCGCACTGACAAATCCTGCAGCCTGCCTAGGCGGAGTTGGGAGGAGGGAGGAGCACAAACAGGGCTCCAAACTGCCCCCAGCTGATTGGTTTGTATTTAGGGCCCATCGTCAGCCAAACAACCTGGCACACAGCTATTGCTCCAGGCTGGCACAAGCCAGGCACAGCTACGGGGGCAGCTCAGCTCCTGGGCCCTGCAGCTGCACGGCCACTCCCTGCTCCCACCCGGGACAGCTGTACTAAGCATAGTGGCTTTAAGGCTGTGATGTCTGGTGTGGGGGCCCTGGGGCAGAAGGAATGGCCTAGAACCCTCTAATAGCCAAGCCCCCTCTGCACAGCAAGGGAAGGACCTTGGGCGCTTTCCAGCCATTCCTCTGGATCTAACTCTGTGGCAGGTACTTTCCAGCTTTAGCAGCAGGCGTGGCTTGCGGGAGGGGGTGACGCAGGTGCCAGGAGGGAAGTGCCCCTCCAGTCTGGCCTGAGGCTCCCAGTCTCTTGCTGGCCTTGGAGAAGATAGGTCGTGTGCTGGGAAAGCTGGTTTGCAGCAGCAGATGCCCTCACTGCCTGGCCTGCAGCACCGAGAGCCCAGGGTCCCAGGACGGAGCCTGGTGCAGCATGGCACAGCTGGCTGCCCTGGACCCGCAGCCTCTGCACCCACGGAGAATCCCACACTGGCTGCACAGCAGGGAGATCACCTCTCATGTAGCCACAACCCCCATGGCCAGCAAGTGACCTGCCCCAGCTGCTCCCCAGCCCCCTTCACTCTGTGCAGCACTGGACACACTCACAGGAAGCACAGGGTGTAAATCCCTCCCTGCCCTATGACCTGCACACGGTGCCCCACACAGAGACCACAAGGGGAGCCAACGCCAGCTTCTTTTATTCAGGGCGGGGGGCGGACACGTTTGCAGCAGCTCAGAAGAATAAACCCCCCAACACCTCCAGCCTCATCTACAGCCCTTGGCTGGACAGGCTCCAGCCCACACACCCTGCAGGCATGCATAGCCTCCCTGCAGGGCAAAGCCCCACTCCATCTAGGGGCCTGGCTCTCCCAAGGCAAGGATCACAGGGGACTGGAGGAGACGCTGCCCTACGGGGCTCCCCCTTCCACGTCGCTGCCCCTTGCCCCTCCCCGATTCAGAGCTCATCCTCTCTGCCTCGAGTAAAGGGGGCTGGGGCAACTCGTGCCCAGTGCAGGCAGATGCTGCCAAGAATGGGGTCTGGCCCCAGGCTCTGAGCCCAGCCCCTGCTCCCCTCAGCAGCCAGGCACTCCCTGCTGAGAGGTGTTGGGAAGGTCCCCTCCATGGGTCCAGAAACGCCCAGCCACAGGCCCAGTAGGGTCCTCCTGCAGGTGTCTGTGTAGCTGAGCAGCACTCTCCCTCTACCCTCCACCCCCGTGCAGGGAGAGGGGGGCGCCGCCGGCTGTGGCTATTTGATGTGGTGGTGGAACTGGATCACGGCTTTCTCCTGGTCATGGGTCTCGATGGCTCCTGGCCGGATTCTCCGGATCTCGTGGATGGCGTCGACCCCAGTGATTTTCTGGGCCTTCACCAGGTAACAGGCCAGCATGGTTCCCGTCCTGCCAAATCCCAGCATGCAGTGCACCGCCACGGCCTGGGGGAACAGCACACGGCAAGGTTAGACCAGGCCTGGTACCTTCACCCCCACTCACATCTCGCCGCCTGGGAGCAGGTAAATGTCCCCGCACAGAGCAGGAGAGGCCTGCCCCCATCTCCGGGACTGAGTGGCAGAGCTGGGTGTCCCCAGCGTGAGTGCCTTGGCTGGCCCGGTAGTCAGAAGCCCTGGTTGTGCTGCGGGAAAAGATGCCATGAGGCTGAAGGAGAATTACTGCCCTCTGCTCACCCAGCACCAGGCACTCCTCTGGGTTGACAGCAGCAGTGGGAAATACCCAGGGGCTGGCAGGCTCCTCTTCTGCCCTAGCATTTTTCTCAGCATAAGCCATGTTCACAGTGACGGCTGCTCGGGTGTCTGGACTACAGGCTCCCATGATGGGCAATCAGGCCCCAGAGGGCGTGGCAGGGTGGAAATGGTGCAGTGCCCTCAGAATCCATGCTGGGCACTGGTGCAGAACAGCACTTGGCCCTGCCCCACTGGAGTGGGGAGGGGAGGGGTAAGGAGCTGTAAGATCTGCCCCACCCCGGCCAGCCTCAGAGTTGGGGTGACTCTGGGAAATCCCCCCGCATCCTTGGTGACGTTTGAGAACCTGCTGCGCCAGGGCCCTCCAAGGCGGTTACAGGCTGCCTGGGCCATGTGGCTGCTCACAGAGAGCTGCAGGGGGCTGTTATATGCCAGCCCTGTGCCCCCAGGCAGAGATTTGCTGTTGCACAGGCAATGCCAGTCCTCGTGTTTGTGGGCCTGTGGGGCCATGGAAAGTCCTGTTACTGTCCCCACGGCAGAACCCACACCACCAACTCCTGCCTCCTCCTGGGAGCTAGCCAGCATTCAGCCTTGCCCTCTATTGGATGGAATCAGAATGGCACAGCCATGTGTCTCTGGCCCCACACTGCCTACAACGCAGGTGGCCAGGGCCTGGACCTCGAGCTGGGTCCCATACCAGCCAGCACTGGGAAGCTCCCATGGCCACAGTGGGAGGCACAACGACCCCAGCTCTAGGGACCAGGGCTGTTCCCATCGCTGAGTGGGGGGCAGGCCCAGAGGGGACACGCCTGAGCTGGGTCACAGCACAATGCATGAGCAGCCCCACCAGGAAGGGGGAATTCCTGGGCCCTGCCCCAGAGCAGCAATCCCCGCCCGCAGGCCCAGAGCCCTTCCTGCTGCTCCGGGCAGAGTTTGGGCTCAAAGCAGAGGTAAGCCCAACCTGAACCCTCCCCAGGCACCAGCCGACCCAAACCCGCCCCCAGCGTCCAGTCCTTTTCAGACCTGCCCCAAACGTGACACTTCCTCCCCGTTCCAACACCACAGCCTCGTCCTTGGGGCTCAACCTGTGGGGGCTCCCAGCTCCCCACGCCCTGTGCCCACAATTCATCTCTGGCCACAGCTGCGTTATTTGGAGTTGCTGCATCTCCGCAGCACATGCAGCGCGGCGAGGGGGCGGCCGGCGAGAGCAGCGCACGCAGCGCGG